CAGGATGAGGCTTTCCTCTCCGGAAAAATAGTGAGCTCTTCGAAGTCCTCATTCCCCTGAGTTAGGATGAAGCTCTCATGGTCGTGCTTCTTGGAAAGTTCTTCAGATATGGAAGAAGTCACGTGAGAAGAAGAAGAAGAAGTTGGATGATAACCAATCCCCTTGGATTCTCCTTGTAGAAAATGAAGAGTCCTCCTCCTTTTTCCTTGCTCTAAGCTCTAAACTCTAAGAAAACTCCAAACTCCTTAAGAAAAAAAGATGGATTTCTCCCTCTAGCACTCTTAAGCTTTCACCAATAGGTCAAGTATGAAAAATTTGCGGAGATGAGGGAAAATGAGCCTTGCTAAAACATAAGATCAGCTCACTCAAAAATTCCTCCATGTTTTGTCAAAAACGACATCATGATGCCATCTATAAGTCCCCAAAAGAGGTATCATGAGCCTCTTTTTGCATGCCCAAGGAAAATACCCACATAGCCTAAGGATATCCACCTTTTCGTCTGCCTAAGGGGGGCGCACCGAGGTTAGAACGGCCCAAAAAAACGTGAAAATTATTATTATTTTTTAACTGGATCAGTGCCTAGGCGCCTAGTTTGGCGCCATGTTGCCAGCCCCTGGGTGTCATGGCTTCAAGCCCATTGGGTAAACTTTCCCGGAGCTTGGGAAATGGCCATTTTGAGGTGTTTTTGCCTAGGCGCCCGGGGCTAATGCCTAGGAGTTTGTCTAGTCTGAAAACCATAATTTTTTTGTAGATTGTTCGAAGCTACGGGGGACCAATTAGGGATAAAATATCTTCCTATATCTTAAAAAAAGTGTATTTATTGCCATTGATTTACCAGAGAAGTAGTCACCGATGGTGCGCGTGTAAAGAATTCCGAACCCTAATTTTTTTCTCAGTACATGTAAGAGGGCTCCGTGACTTCTCTTGACCACAAGAAGCTCCGAATGGGTGCAGAGTGATCTCTAATCACCAAAATTAACATCGAACATGTCCCAAGTTCTGAATTAATCTGTCTAATAGCAGACTCTCTAGGGCAAGGCCGAATCACTGTGAACCCTAGCTTTTTGTCACGAACACGTGTTAAGAAGTCTTAGATGAGTGTCTTGAGTTGCGGAATGCTGTAAATGAGCAGTAGACCGTCCTAAGCCGTTCATGAGGACACCCTACACACGTGATGTAAAAAATTGTTGCAAACAAGTTCCTCAAGTCTATGTGGGATGACTGAAACCTTTAAGTTGAAACGATTTTCCACTTATAGGGGGCTCTTGACATCCATTGTCACGCGCACAAAATTTTTTAGATTGTGATTACAACAATAAGCATTAATATATGTTATTATCATACTCTTGAATAGCTTTTCAGAAAAAAAAAATAACATTCAATCAAACTATGACAATATTTTTCAGAGAAAATAAAAGTACACGTGTTAAGGATAAACAATTTTTAGGTCGTCTGCGCTCCAAGTGTGAGGTACTCCCTTCCCTGTGGAGGTTCACAACTTGTATGCTCTTGAGGGCACACACTTGTTGATGATGAATGGTCCAGTCCATGTTTGGTTTAGCTTATATGGAGGTTGGTCGCGAGTTGCTTGGTCTAGTTTCTTCGGGACCTAGACTCATTCTTTGAATGACTTATCTCTTGCATGCATATTATAATAGTGTGCCATTCTCCCCTTGATTTTCTCTTATATGGATGCTGACTGAGTGCACATTTCTTCTAGTAAATCAATTAAAAACTTCTTTCCTTTGTGTTTCTTAATTTATCATTCGTCTAACTTATGTTCCTCAAGTGCAAAGGCAACGAACACCCTATGGCTATGCAAGTTGTATTCGACCTGCAACACAACCTTGGCCCCATGTGAGAGCAAGAAAATAGTTTTTAATGTTTCTATTATGGGGTCAATTCTGAGTGTCCATAGGATGGATGGGAAGATGTTGCATTGTGGGCCACAGAGATGAGGCGTTGCCTGAGAGGAATCTTTTTAGGCTGACTCGTCAGGGTGGCTTCTACTCCATATCCTTTCAGGATGACTGGGATAATCCCTTCAATGTGGATGGCGTGAGCATGAGATGAGCCACCTTGTTCTTTCGTTGTCAGGGTCTTTCCTGGACATTGATCGGTTGTCCCAGTGGTGATAACTTATTTCAGCTTCTTAGCTTGAATTAACTCCTAAAACAGTTCAAAGGAGGTGACATTCATCAATGTTGTGCTAGTTTTCTTGGTGGGAAACGATATTTTTTTAGATCGCGAGCATATTCCTTGGCCTTCATGTGAGCGGGCTTCCGATTGTATTCCTTATTCTATATGACTTACATTCTTTTTGCCACTGAAACTTTTAGTGGAGTTGGTGGCAACATCCTCTCCAAGTAGAGCTATGCTCTTTGCTCTTGGTACCATGTCCTTATTTGATCTTGGTGCATCTTCTTTGGAATGTAAGACTCCTGAAGTGAATGTTCACCTTCATATCGAGGACGCATCGCCCACCATGTGGAAGACCTGGCCTCTAGTCACGTTTGCGAGAACTTCTTTTGTGCAGGATATGACTATGATTGTTTGGATCTCCAAAAGGCTTCGGGTAAGCTGTATTCCTCTATTGAGATGTGGTCGTCGACAAGCTCCAACAAATTTGCTAGTGTTTTGAGTGCTCAAGAATTCTTCCGCGTGCACATCGAAAGTTTCAGTAACGAACATCTTTTCGAATTATACGAACAAAGTGATTACCTAGGCAACAAACTATTGAACCGCCAGAGCGCAGACTCCGTCATTGTCATGAAGAAAAGCTGATACTACAATGCGTTGTTTACGCTCAGGAGACACGCTGTCTACTCAAAAGAGACATAGTGATCGACTAGAATCCATCTTCCAGCAGTATGGCTCTAGATTAGGAATATTGAACCCTCAGGACACTTCCACTTTAAAGATCTGTTGGGAGAGAGCATTATCAAAGGTTGGCCACCAAATGCTCGTTCGCCTTTGTCTATCTCAATCTTAAGGTGCATATCCGGTAGTGTCCAGATGGTACATTTCATCATTCACACTTGGCATCGGGGAGTGCTCTTTTTCCACATTTGGATCGGGTGTCTGACGTGAGGGAACCAACGTTGGGGTGTTGGATTTGCTTATTGTTGAAGCACCTAACTGATTATCTCTCTTATCTCATCCTTTAGTTTCTTTGATCTATTGGGTCACAAAGTCTTGCCTTGCTTAAAATTACATGCGTTTTCCCAAATACATTCTTCCTCTTACGCAACTCCTCTTATTGTTTGTGACATGATTCAATGCTCAATAAACCTTTTAAGGGTGGTGAACCCATATTTATTCTAGAATCACACCAATTGATAGAAAAAAAAAAGATTCGTTTAGAGAAAAAAGATTCTTGAAGGTTTGAACATGATTCATTAATATAGTCAAAAAAAATATGTTGGTTTTAGTAGCACAATATCTTATATTTCTAGGAGTTCACCCCTCCCCCTCGAGGGGGAACTGTTACATTATTTTAAATAATACAAAATCAAACTAAAAAAGAATTCCCAAGCGAGATCCTGTACGACTGTTAACTACTTGTGATTTCTGACCGACGTAAGATTTTTATTTATCATGGGATGGGGACTGTTGCTCCTGCCCGAGCCGACCGACACCCCAACAATGGATTGTCCGATCACAGGCCTTGGTTTTTGTCATATTGGTATTAGACACTTCTTTTGGGTCAACTAACTTTTTTGGGTGCCTTGGTTTGCCGGTTAGTCATGCACGAGAGATTTGAGTTAATAGCCCAAAATTGGGACATTACCACTCTAATGAGAGTTCACTCGCCTTCTGTTTAGTTGCATATTCTCTGTTGATTTCTTGGATCGCATGGCTTACACTGCTTTTCCTAATTCTAGATAAAATTTTGATTAACACGATCCAATCTACTGATTCTGTTGTTCGGTCGCTACTAACCATTGAGATAACCTTTTTACTTGCTTTAGTTGACTTTATCAAACGCTTGTTGGTGCACAAAAATAATTGTGTGGCAAAAATGTAAAGGTAAAATTTAGGTGTTGTACATAAATGCTCCCAAAACGCAAATATACAAAATTTTTAGAAGAGGGCAATTTAAATACCTACCACATAATTCATATGTATATACATATTTAACACATGTATCTCACAAATCTTTAACATCACATAAGAAATAACATTATCATCATATTTTAAAATTGAAATACAACTTTTCATTCATTGGTTTATGACACTAATGTATGATAAATGTAAATATTACATTTTGAATGTTAGATTGGTAAAAACATAAGAATTATGCAATGTGTATGTAAATTTCCACCAAAAAAAGGAGTTCGTAGACCACCAGGGGTGTAAGTGAGCCGAACCTACTCGTGAGGTGGCTCAAACTTAGCTCGAAAAGTGACTTGTGAGCGGAACTTGATGGCCTAACACTTAAAGCTCAAATGAGCCCAGACTCTAGCCAACTTATAACTCGAAAAGTGACTTGTGAGCGGAACTTGATGGGCTAACACTTAAAGCTCAAATGAGGCCAGACTCTATTTATTAGCTCGTGAGCCAATTTATTTGAATATATA